AAGTCCGATAAGACTTAGGATAAATTGCAAAAAAAAGCACGTAATAAATTAATAAAGTGGCATTATATATTAAACACTTATCTGCAGCTAACAAATTTTAACGCATCTTTTATTCTGTCACTTTGATATATAATATTTCGTAAGTCGCGTTGAGCTATTTGTAAATATGCATGTACTTGGTGAAGTGACTTTACGTAAATTATTACGAATTCGTATAGGTCGAAGGTTCGGCGTAAAACCAGTCTGTCGTCTAAGCCGCAGTTGAAGCGTGTATACAGGGTGTCCCGAAAATGTTGGAGATCCTTGGAAGGGGAGATTCGGGAGGTGATTTGAAACAACTTTTTCCTTAGCGAAAATGTCGTCCGAGGCTCCGTTGAGGAGATATCAACGGAAAACAGTGACCAATCAGAGCGCGAGTATGACGGTTGAGCGACCGCGGCAGCGTAGGCTACGCGCTAGGTGGCCGCTCTCGTACGCTACCGCGGCCGCTCCACCGGCATACTCGCGCTCTGATTGGTCGGGGAGCGCGACCGTCTCGCGCTCTGATTGGTCACTGTTTTCTGTTAATATCTTCTTAACGAAGCCTCGGACGACATTTTCGCTAAGGAAAAAGTTGTTTCGAATCACCTCCCGGACCACCTATTTCAAGGTGTTACAACATTTTTGAGACACCCTGTATACCTGCTCCCAAATTTTTACTAAAATAGATGTTTTGTTTTGCAAAAGTATGGATCGAGGCAAAAGGTATATTTCGAATCGTAGTATGGACGACTACACCGACTATAGGCGATCATACGTGCGAAATAATGCAGTATCCGCGCCTCCCATTTCCAAGCATAAAAAGTGAAACGAGAACACGAATCGTAGGGGTACGGGATCGGTCGCGTAGGTAAAACGGTCGACTGTGGATCCGAGGATCGTGTGGGTTCGAATCTCCGTCACTTATTTTTCGTTTCGACTCCTAAATACATTTGGTGGTCCCTCTGGGGGAGGGGGGTTATAGCCGGCTACACCGAAGAGGACCGGCCAGTGACGACGAACAACGATGACAAACGAATGACTGTGGAGCGGGCAACACTGGTGGCGTCGAGGGTGAAGGGGAGAGAGGGGGGAGTACGCTCCAGTGAAGGCAGCTCGAGGTGTCGGAGTGGGACTCCCGAAAAGACGAGAAACTACGAAAGAGGGCGCGCACTGCCGCCGAGACGCAAAAACCGAAAAGAGACGGATATCCGAATGGCAGTTGAGAATAACGAGTCAAACGACAACACGATTCCGAATCTTCTACAATAACGTTTATCAATGTTTGGTGAAAATGAAAATTCCAAGAAGCCCGAACAATTGATGGAAAAGATAATCTCTGGCTGGGCGGGTATCACGCGTAACGACATCCGATTTGCCATTATCTTACGCAAATGCTGGCGGATGCATCGCTATCAGGACGTCGCGACGTCTTATCTCTCTGTATTACCGAATAAAAGCGTCGACGTTCGGGCGTTCGTGCACCTATTCGTTAACCGTGGTGCCGGCGACACGCGGAACGGTCGCGTCGCGATAACACGCGAGAGTGGAAAGCGTATAACGAGAACTAACTGCCAGCCGTCATCTCGTCGATCGACGATCCAATCGAGGGAACGTTCGCTCGTTATTTGCGTTTGAACAGTGAGTATCGTTTTCGAGAAACGTTTAAACCGTTTCAATCCTTCATTTATCGAATTCCTCGAAAGTTTTTAAAATCTAGGTCCTTATGGTCATCTTGTTCTAGTACCATTTTATAAAGTTTACGAGCTTCCAAAAGAAAGGAAGCTCGTGCTGCCATCCAACAATTAAAAACGAACTTCATAAATAATTAGGGACATTGCATTATTGCATTGCATTAAAATTTGTATATGCCATTTTTTAATTTTTAATTTTTAATTTTTGAAAGCTTGAATCTTGTAACCGGAACGGACGGAACTTTCCTAATAGTTGTCCACCAGTGTGACGAATCGTATATATAGTCATGCTGTTCCTGAAGAGGACAGCGACATTTTCTCAACGATACGTGTCAATGCCGCGTGCCAGAAAAATAACGATTAAATATACATACATATGCGTACATTTGAATCGTCGATATTTTTAATTTTTTTATAGTGAAATCCGACGTATGATTGACCGTGATGCAAACGCATTCCTGCGTCGCATAGTTCGTTTAACCGAAGAGATCCGCCGCGGTGACTCACGTGTGATTTATTAACCGAGTAGAAAAATCATTTATGAATAATGACGAGCGAAACGATCGCTGTTCGATATTCTAAAGAACCACCGAGGTTTTTATCGAACTTATCTTATTAATTGATGTAATCTAATGCCTGACATGTGATATTCAATCTAAAAATATGCTTTATCAGAACATATAAATATTAATCATATCTGCTTCCATGTATACATTATCGCGCACTCGTCATTTGTAACCAGTATAGTCGCAACCCAGAACACAAACCCAGTATGGTCGTATATTCATTACTATATTAGACAACTATACAGAAACGTTTTCATAATTGCACAAATTTCTCTACGATAAATGCACAGAAGTTCGAACGGCGAGCAGTGTAAACGTGATCTGGGATCGGATTACACTAGACTGGACAAATGCAAGAAAATCGAGCGTCGAAAAATGCTGGTGCATTTACGGTAGACTTCGTACGTTCTCTGCGTACGAAGTCTACCGTAAATGCACTTCGTACGTTCTCTGCGTACGAAGTCTACCGTAAATGCACTAGTCCGCAGAGAACGTACGAAGTCTACCGTAAATGCACTAGTACGCAGAGAACGTACGAAGTCTACCGTAAATGCACTAGCACGCAGAGAACGTACGAAGTCTACCGTAAATGCACTAGTCCGCAGAGAACGTACGAAGTCTACCGTAAATGCACTAGTTTAGTCCCGAGTTCGTGCACGTGTAAAGACTTTACAGTATCTTCTCCTCGTAAAGTATCGAGACATTCGTTTGGAAGCGATAACAACGATAAGGAGAACAATCGGCCGCGGCACACCGTCCGGTCATCAATAATAGGCTGGCATGCACAGGTCGTTGACAAATTGCTTCGCCAGACTGCGTTTAAATTGCCCCATGACCGAAGGACTACGCGCGTAACTCCCGTTGTTTGGCCATTAACGTCGATCATTTCAAGTATGCGCATCTATGTCACGTACGCCCGTGGATCCTACCTTTCAATCGGGCCACTCGCTCCTCGGCTTTACGTCCGTGAACTCGATTCGACTGCTCTCCTCCCTACAGTGATGTAACACGTGTGCACAAACGCGCCACGTCCTTCAGATTGTCGCAGCAAACTGATATTCCACCTCTGAATGTAATAATCAGTATAGTCGGGAGAAATCCTCTGTTGCTCGCAATAGTTGCATTGGTACGCTGGCTGGCTCCATTTCTTTGCGTTGGAGTCCATTGTGAGTATAGTAGTCTGGCATTCTACTATACCTGGGAATATAGTAATATAGTTAATGGACACGTAGACGCTTGGGATAGGAGTATGGTACACTCGCGTGGCTCGATTTCTTTGCGTTGGAATCCATTGTGAGTATAGTAGTCTGGAATTCTACTATACCTGGGAATATAATAATATAGTTAATGGACACGTAGCCGCTTGGGATAGGAGTATGGTACACTCGCGTGGCTCGATTTCTTTGCGTTAGAATCCATTGTGAGTATAGTAGTCTGGAATTCTACTATACCTGGGAATATAGTAATATAGTTAATGGACACGTAGCCGCTTGGGATAGGAGTATGGTACACAAGCGTGGCTCGATTTCTTTGTGTATGAATCCGTTGTGAGTATAGTAGTTTGGTATTCTACTATACCTGGGAATATAGTAATATAGTTAATGGACACGTAGACGCTTGGAATAGGAGTATGGTACACAAGCGGGGCTCGATTTCTTTGTTTATGAATCCATTGTGAGTATAGTAGTCTGGTATTCTACTATACCTGGGAATATAATAATATAGTTAATGTTGCTTCGAAGCCTCGGACAACATTTTTGCTACGGAAAAAGTTGTTTCAAATCACCTCCCGGACCACCTATTTCAAGGTG